AAGGAATCATTTTCAAAGTTCATATTGATCTACCCTTTTGAAAAGAATTTTCTTTTTAAGATCTGATCAATGCAGTAGAGTTATTTATTAAGATCTCAGAATTGTTTCTATCCACTCATATCAAGACCCGTTTAATTGCATATTTGATCATAAATAATAACTTAAGTACTATATCTCAAACAAACAAAAAAAGGATTATACCTAAGATTTTAGAAAAGAAAATCAAATTAACTAATAGAATTTATTAAGTGTCCGTGCAGATTTAAGTTTGTTATTTACCTTGGGGGAATACTCAAGTCATTACAACTATGATCGAGTTAGTAGTTAGGGGTTGCTTTAATTGGAATTGAAAGAAGAATTGCCAAATAAATTTAAGCAAAGCAAAGGAAAATTAAAAGAAAAAGGAAAGTATTAGAAACTAGGGAATTTGATCCCGTCAACTAGAGAATACATCTAATTGATGTTTTTCTTATTAAGGTTAAAATTTATTTAGTTAATTGAATTTAGTTTTTTTTATTCAAGCACATATACCAAAATAAGCTTCATGGATTTTTTTTATTTTTGTCAAATAATTTTATATATGATGTTATAAGAATCATGAAAAGATAATTGATTAATAAAGATTGATAATTATTTATAAAAATACAATATTAGTATAAAAATGAGCATTTTTAAATGATAGGAATTGTATTTTTTCTAAAAAAAATGCTCATTTTGCATAAACGTGTGTGGCAACTTCAAATGATAGGTATTGTATTTATTTATTTATTTATTTCCCTTTTTTGAATTATTTCTTATTTTTTAAATTTCTGTAAGCAACTTAATTATGAATGATTATTCCTCTTGATAAAGAGAGAAGAGTTAAAATTGTTTCCTTTATTTCATTAGAATTAATTCACTCTGTAGTTGTCTCTCCTCACTATTCATTGTCCATCTCTCTCCATTTGTGTGACAACCCACTAACACTATAGGTACACTTCGAGTTTTCTCTTTCCCGTGAAATTCAAGGTATGCATTTTTTTCTAGGTATGTGTTTCCACCCCCCCACCCCCTTCTGTTTCATTGCCTTGAATATGCCTTGCCCTTTTCAATTCCATATGATTTTTAAATATTAATTCCAATTTTTATCCTATGCTTTATTTTTTCCAGAACTTATTCAATGCTTACTCTTTTATCTTATAAATGTAATTCTGTTATGTCTTATATATTCTCTCTGATTTCTATGAATGACTCAGGAGTTAAAATAATATTTTATTTATTATATTAAAGTTCCTATATAATATCTTTTTATATATTGAAAAAATTAATTTTTCACTTTGAAGTGCTATTTAATGCCCGGTGTGCAGTTTAAACTTTAGAGTCAAGGTTGCTTCAAGATTGACTCTGAGTTAATGGTATCTTGCAGGGTAGATTTTGGGAAAGTAGAGATTAAGAAAGACATTTCTAAGAAAAACAAAGGACTCAACGATAAGAATTAAAAATATTCTTAAAGTGTAACCTGCAAATCCCAAGCATGTCTTATCTATTAAGGACAAGAAGTTTCTCCTCTGCAAATTGACTTTCAAATATCAAGCAAGCCACCAAGATCAAGGAGCAAGTATAGAATTACATGAAATGCCTTCTCCTAAAGAAAAATGTGGCAAATTCGAAAAAGCTAAATGCAGCTGTGTCTAAGAAGAATGAAACGACATCACCTTTGGCAGGAGTGGACCTACATAATAACAATGAGGATCAATGTAAGGCAGGGTACTTAGGACCATATTTTAATAGGATGCCTAGAAGTTGGATCATTTGCACGCCCTCATACATAGGTTGTGATATGTATGGTGTATGGTGCTTGAAGGACGAAAATTGCACTCATAGATATCATTAGAAAAAAATTGCGATTTTATCAATTTATAAAAATTATTTATGTTTGGCTACTTATGACTTTTTCATCTTTTCTATTTTAGCTAAATTCAAAAAGTATAATTTAGTAAGATTTTTAATGTGGTCCAGTTAAAATTTTTATCTCCAAAAAGTGAAGTTGTGAGTAGTTCCCTTCGGTTTAAAATAATCGTACTTTAGTTTTTACTTATTAATACTTGCCTTATGTTCCTAATGTGGTTGCAACATCAAAGACAGAGAAGTAACTCCCTCTCATTTTGATAGAGCATCATTTGCATTCAAGTTTTTACCCTCCAATGTTTCATTCCTTTTGGACATCTCAAATGTACATGAGGAGAGATCTCAAACGAACAATAAATAGTCGTGATTTGAAGTGATTGCGATAACGGCAGACGGCAGACATGCAGTGGTAATGGTTTCTCCCCCACAAAAATTTGTGTATATTCGTGAATTTTACATGTATGTCATAATAAGATATCTATATTCCATGGATAGAAAAGCTATTCACTTTAATTTTACTATATCACATCAAAAGATAAAGATAAAAAAAGTATATACCCGTGCCAAGTAACTAAAAGAGTAAATTATGAATAGCTTATGCAAAGAAAATAAAAAGAAATTTCTCTCCTTTATCTTTTTCCTTTTTTTTTTTGTGAAACCCAACATGATATAAAAGAACAAGAAGGTAAACAATAAGGTATATATAACCTACTTTTATTATTTTTAATATTCGAATATTAAAATATCATTCTATAAAGAGGTTTTTCCTAAACCGCGCGAAGCGCGACAAGTTCTCTAGTATACTTCTATTCTCTAGATCATATAGCCTATAACCCTTTTATGTTTCTGAGTATCCAATAAGAACAACCCTTTTAGCTCTAACTGTGAACTTGTCACCTTTAGGCCGGTTACTTGTATAACATAAGCAACCAAACACCCTTAAGTGATCTATTTTGGCTGGCAGTCCATACAATAACTCATAAGGTGATATTCCTTGCAAAATACTAGTGGGCAGTTTGTTTATCAAGTATACTGCAGTTCTTATACAATCACCCCAGAACCTCCTAGGAATTGAGCTTTTGAATTTTAAGGCTCTTGCAACCTCCAGTATATGCCTATGTTTTCGTTCAACCACCCCATTTTGTTGTGGAGTGTATCAGCAACTACTTTGGTATACGATTCCTAGAGAAGCAAACAAAGCATTGCATTGAGAGTTGAAGAACTCATTGCCATTATCTGATCTAACAACTTTCACAGTAGCTTCAAACTGAGTGTTTATCATTGCAAGAAAGTTCTTTATTACAACAACTACTTCACATTTAGACTGAATTAAGCATACCCAAGTAAACCGGATGTAGTCATCTACTATTGTAACAAAATAAAGCTTCCTGTCATATGTAAGTCCCCAAACATCCATGTGTATGAGCTGAAAACAACTACTTGACCTGGTGTTACTAAGTGGAAACTGTAGTCGACATTGCCTTGCCAAAGGGCACACCTCACAATTGTCCTGCTCTCTAACTTGTATCTTATTTTTTAGTTCTGAAGTATGCTGCATAGATTTTGTTGATGATGACCTAGCCTCAAATGCCACGATGTTGTTTTTCCATTTTCCTTCAAAAAACTAATTGATGTTATTGGTAAATTTTCTTTTATCAAGTATAATTCATTGTTTTCTCTACCAATCCCCATCACCTTGCCATTGTAGAGCCCCTGAAATATACAGAAATCGGGGCAAAAACTAACTGAGCAACATAACTGTCTAGTGAGTTTTGACACTAATAATAAGTTGAATTTAAAATCTGGCACATACAGAACTCCTTCCTGCATTTCCCGTATGTGTAATTTCTGCTTTACTGCCTGTAGGTAATTGTACTCCATCTGTCCTATGATCTGCTTTTCTAAGATTACCTAAAGCATTCTTGCAATGTGTCACATGGTGAGAGCACCTGAATTCACTATCCAAACATGATCATTAGCAATTGCATTTGTCATTAAAGTGATAATACCTGCAGTATTGGTGGAATAATCATTTGTGGTAGTCTTTTGCAACAAATTCACCAGTTGTTTGTATTGATCCTCAATGAAGAAATTTCCTTGTGTTGGCAACATAGGTGCATGTTTCTCCTCACTTGTTGCATTGTTCACACAAGTCCTGCCTCCTGTGTTTTGCCCTTTTTTCTTACTTTTGAAATCTGGTGGATACCACACTATTTTGTAATAATTTTTTTTGAGGTGTCCTTTATAACCACAATAGTCGCAGATTAATCCTGACACTCATGACCTTTTCCTACCAGCATTGTGAGAGGATCCTTCAATGTGTCTGTGATTCCTAGAGTTCTTTGACTTTCTTCTTGTGTAACTATTGCATAAGTTTCATTCATTGTGATCACAGGTCTTTTGGCCAAGACATTACTTCGAATATTACCATAACTTTCATTCAATCCCATGAGGACTGCAATAGGCGAATGTTCCAAGAGTTCTACTGAAGGCCTGGACTCCTCACAGTCACATGAGACTAGAGGTGCTATGACATCTAGTTCAAGTTCATCTCATAGGTCCTTCATTTTCGAATAATAGCTAGTGACCGAGTCCGTTCCTTGTCTCAAAATCTCTCATGGAAATCAGCCCATACTTTTTTTTGCATTCGATGCATATACGATGCTAGGCATTAATTCATTTGAAACAATACTACCAATCTACGAGAGAACAATTGCGTTACATTTCTCCCATTGCTCTGTCAATTCACCTCTATACATATCTTTTACACGAGATCCATCCACAAATCCAAGCTTGCCCTTTCTCCGGAGTGCCAATTTCATCGCTCTGCTCCACAGTGCGTAATTTTCTGGACCTGTGAGCTTGAGTGAAATTAAGACGAGTCCTAGAGCATCTGAAGCTTGCAAAAATAGCGGATGATTATGGTCGAGTGAACTGACTTCGTTATCTGCCATGGCTGTTTGAAATTGAGCTCAAAATTGAAGAATTTCTTAGCTCTATATTTCGCCTCTGTGTTTTGCCGGAAAAGTTGAATCTCGCCGGAAATAGATCGGAATTACAGTCCTAGCGATTTTCGCTCTGATACCATGTTAGATTATGGGTGAGAAAGAAGATTGAGAAATGAAGAAGAGAAATCGAAATTGTATTCTTCAGAGAGGAATGTTCAATACAAGGCTATATAGTGCTCACTAACTAAATGACAGCTCATACACATCTATCCACTAACCACTTTAACTAACCCTTTTAACTAACTCTAAAACACCCTATACTTTTATTATGTACACTTTGATACCCCCTATTTCCCAAGAGTAGCCTTTCAAATTGTACTATATGTGATAAAGACTTGAGCACAAAAGATTTGATTGAACCACGCAAGAAAGAAACAAAGTTACTACTTAGTAAATATAGTAGTGTAGTTTATAGGTATACAAGAAAAAGCTGCTACCAGCAGAAAGAAGGTAACTTAAAAGAGAAAGAGGAGGGAAGATGACCAGTCCTCCTTATATAATCTGCCTTTTCAGAAGTCTTTACAGCTTTTTCATTCAGCTTTGCTTCAGCGTTGGCTCTTTTCTCCTCTGCTATTCTCCTTGTTGATGCCAACTTGTTTGTATACTTCTCTTGTGCCCTTGCTTTTATTCTTTCTGCCTTCACCTGCAAATCCAAACCAGCAGCATTTTGAGAGCTCAAGGTTAATTTCAGGTAACCACTATAATAGTTAAGTCAAAAAATTCTCTTCTGTCATATTAAAGTAACCGAAATCACTAAAATTTATCCTAAGTTATAAACCTATTTTTTATTAGGTTAAAGTAACTAAACTGTACCCACTATAACAATAAAGTCGCTCAACGCTATCCACTATAACGACAACACTTATCTATCAAAGTGACTTTAATTAATGTGAAGAGAAATAGTTTTCTGAATTTACTATTATAGGTGGTAAAGTTAAGTGGTTATACGTGAAATTAACCCTGTGTGATACAAGTACTGGGCAGCGTAAGTTAATTATTTTCTAAAAGTATATTGATATCAAGTTCGCACCTACTTTAACAAAGAATGGTGAGTGCAGTGGTAGTCTGCACCTACATACTTAATACTAGTATCTTATATCTGCCTCTAATAATAAATCAGGTACTCACCACCGCAAGCAAGATGGTGTAAAGATTAAAATGAAAGAAAGTGACATGTCAAAATAAATTAAGATTGATTACCTCCATTCTTTTCATTTCCATTTCAGCTTTCCTCTTTTCATGATTTTCCCAAGCTTGTATCTTCACCTCTTCGCGCTTATACCTGCAGACAAATCAATATATATATATGTTGTTACTCATATGATCAACGCAAAGAAAGAGTGGTACAAACAGGCTCGTTTAGGTTAGTTGATTAAATGTAGCAAATAAGCATGAAAATCACTTTTAACTACCGGAACTGATTTTAAAAATAAGCAGTTATGTATCTGGATAAAAGTTTTTGAAAAGAAAAAATAAATAATAGTACAGTGCTATGATTCTTAATCAACAGAGCAGCCTATCTAGCACATTACCTGGCCATGTACTTGGCACGTTCAGCCTCATCCCAAGCCATTGCGCGAGTTTCCAGTGGATTAAGCTTGTTGGCATGTTTTGTTTCCTTCTTAGCTGCTAATTCATTGTCAATAGTTTCTTCTGCATCGCGAACGATTCGTGTAGTCCCTGCATTTACCCTGTTCTCACCTGTGGTGGCAACAGTTTGACAATTTTCTATAGGAGTAGAAGATCCTGAGGATATTGGACTTGTTGCTGCTGGAGTTGTAGCTCTAATCGGAGTGGCAGTTCTTGATGGTTCTTGGCTTGCAATTGGTGTCATTTCTGTTCCCATGTCCCTAACACATATCGATCGAACAGCTGAGGCAGAGTTGTTATTAGAAGCCTTATTGATTCTCCATATTGATTCATCACAATCAACTTTCTTTGTTTCCACTTCAAATTGAATCATACTAGAATCTCCTTCCTCGCCACTCGAATAGTCCTCTTTCTTTGGAACTGGTGAAATCAACCTTAAGTCATCAGCATTCGAGTTTCGAGGGGTGGCTTTAGATTGGTGTTTTTCTCCTCCCCCTCTTGAAAGATTCACTAACCATTTTTGTGCATCATCCCATTTTGATGGTGTTGGTTTACCTGAGGCTGCTGTTCTTTGGTGAGTCGATGCACGATTTACTCCATTCCCTTTATGAAACTCAAAATTCATACTGCTGCCTCCTCCTCCTACAACCTCTTGTTTTTGTCCATAATTCAAGCATCCTTTGTCCTCTATGGATCTCATTTTTCACTCTTTTGCCTAATTACTTATGACCAATTCTTTTTGTTCCTAATGGATTTTAAAGGCAGATCTAGATACTTAAGATTTGTGCCAAGTATAAAGTTCAGTTTTTTATGAGTAGCAGGAAAGAAGAACAAAGGGAAAGCAGCTTGACACTGTTTTTCATCATTTAAAGCAACAGAATAAAGTTTTAGGAAACAATGAGCTAGAAACTTTCTTATGTGTGAGGATGTTTAGTTCTGAAAATGGTATCCACTGTTTGAAACAAAGAACAAAACTTTCAGCTTTTCTTGAGAAGAGAACACAAGAAGCAGCACTGAAATCATATGCAAAGTTAAACAGTGTAGTAAATGAAAAACCTCAAGTATAGACGACAAACAACTGAATTCATTCAAGATTTGGCAAAATGAGTTAATTACTAAAAGAGTTCATTTAGTAGAAAGAAGGGGAAAAAGAGTACTGCACCAAAACAAACTTGAGGAGGAGCTGGCCATTTACAAAGCTGAAGAGCAAAGCAGAGAGTGCAGGAATACTAAAGACTCGGAACCATGTATTTTTGAGACTGGCAGAACTAAAAGATATGAAGTTCAGATCCACTATATTCTGCTGAAAACTTTTCTAGTAAAATAGTCTTCATTTGCATGGTACACAGCAAAAATTGCTCCTAATAATTGAGTAAATTTTATGGCTTGTTACTCAATTTTGTGTTCATTAACTAAAAGTTAATTTTCTTTCTTTTGTTATGTAAAAATTATTCAACTTTATGTTCTTTACCTAAAAATTATTTTTCTTTCTTTTGTTACACAAAAATCATTTGTCTATGCTCTAGTTAACACAATAATCACTTTGACCAGATTTTACAAATCTTTCACGTGAAAAGTCTATTATGACCTTGATATTATAAATCATTCGATTTATGTAATACTTTCTATATTATATGCTATATAATATACTTTTACCCAGGTATTTTACTTATAATTAAAATAACTTGATATTATTTTACTTATTTTTTTATAATATATTCGTACATTTAATATCTTCTTAACGGTAATTTTCAAGGTATATAAGTAACATTATTAAATTTGTCAGTAAATATTACCATGAACAAATCTCAAGTCCACGTTCTTAACCATACTTAATTAAATATTTTTAATGATCAACCAAGTCATACTCATTAATTCAATAAATAAAATATCCATATTTAGTACAATGACACATCAAATTAATACTTTCAAATAAATAATATTAACAAATAAAGCTTTAAAAATTTTAATAATAAATACAAATATCTTCGAATTTTTTTTTAAAATTTGTATTGACTATAAAAAAAACTATCATTTGTTAAACAAATCTGTTTGTTATTATTTCAAATAAATATTAAAAATAATTTTTTTTTATGGTTTTTATATTTAAAATATGTTCATGCTTAAATATGATTAAACAAATTGAGTGTCGTGAAAAAATTAAATATATGGATATATTATAAAATAATTTAAAGTTATTTTAATTATAAGTAAAATATCTAGTTAAAAATATATATATTATATAGTATATAATATAAATGTATTACATAAATGAGAGGATATATAATGTCAAGGGCATAATTGACTTTTCAAGTAAAAGTATTATAAAATCTGATCAAGGTGACTTTTGTGATAAACATAGCAAAGTAAAATAATTTTTATGTAACAAAGGAAAGAAAAGTGACTTTTATGTAATCAACACAAAGTTGAATAATTTTTACGTAACAAAAAGAAGAAAAATGACTTTTGCGTAATGAACACAAAGTTGAATGACCATCCATAAAATTTACTCCTAATAATTTAACGATTTAAATTATATAGACTGACAACTCAATTTTTTATAATATTAATGTATTTAAATATATTTTAGCAGATAAAGATATCTTAGTTTTTAGGTCATTAATCTCATTTTTTCATATAGTTACTCTTTTAAGTGACATAATAATGTAGAAATTATTTTACATTATTAATATATAAAAGTTAAATTTGTAATAATACAAAGGTGAAGAAAATAAACCCCCCTCCCCACCCCTCTCTCTAATAAGTAAAAAATTTATATTTATATTTATATTTATATACTGAGTAGAAAAAATCTTTATACTATTTGATTAAGTGGACTTGCAGCGATTAGGAACTCTACATATCAATCCTAGTATAATAACATGAAAAATGAATTACTCCCTTCGTTTTAAGCAAAAAATTTAAGAAAAAAAAAGAGACTTTTGTAACTTGCGGTCTTAAAAGGTTAATGGGTAAAAGTTTTGTGATCATGATATTTGTGTGGTTATAAAAGCTTCTTATTAAGGGTAAAATGAATCAAATGAAGAGTTTAAAATTAAATTATTTTCAAATTTAAAAATATGTCATTTATTTTAAAATAAACTAAAAAGAAAAACAGTCCATCTAATTTGAAAGGAATAGAATAATAATCTGATATAACCGACTAAAATACATTGAGAAGAATTCACATTAAACGCATTATTAATAAAATAAACTTGAAGTACTACTCTTTTACCTAGAAAGTTGTGCATTTTATTCCTAAATACACAGTTGGGTAAGTGGGTTTTTGTAACTTACCTCCCACTATTTCACCTCTCCATGGAATCTTGGGGATAGTTTCAGTGACACTGTAACCCAAAAAACCATAGATAAATAATGATTCTTGGAATATTTTAAGGCACTGCTCCACTATATATAGAAAAAGTACACATTTACATAAAATTTCTAGTGTAACGGTTAGTAGCTAGGTAACAAAGGCAGCTGTAGACATCAAATGGGAGTGACACTTGGGGGGGTACAATATTTAATGCAGATGTCAGTATGTGAGTTTTGGCAGTGTTGGATTAGATTGCTAATAAACAAAAACAAATTCTGAGATATTTCACATGGCCAGGATGGACATGGGACTGTTGCATTGTTTCCTAGAGTATTCTTGTGGTACAATTTCTGGAAAAAATATTAAATTGGGATGGTTGACAATGATGTTGGGGCGAAAATAATAAGGCGTCATAGGGCCGTGTATAATTTGGTAAATACCGAATTAACATATCGAAATCGAATTTTTTTGTATTTGATATTTGATATGGTATTTGATAATTTTTTTAAAATACTGAAATACCGATACCGTACCAAAATATATATTAGATTAATTTTAAATATCATGTCATCCTTGCAGCCTGCAGTTACCGGAGAGCTTAAGGAGAATGTTTCTAGTTCCATGTTCTTTAGTTAAAGCTTGTGCACCACCTATTTTTGTCTATGTGGTTAATGGATGTTACCCAAATGATTTATGTAAACAACACTTGTGAAAAACTTATTTTGATCACATTTGAGAAGCTTACTAGTGTCTGGTATATTACGGAGATGAAAGTTAGAGCTTTAGACCAGACATACTTACATGTTGATGAAGTTTGTAAACGTTATTCTAATCTTATGCTCTTGTTTATAGAAGTCTCATATATGATGTGTAGTGTTGTTGCATTCATAAGATTGATTTTGCTGGCTAGTTATAATTTTAATTTTGCTGGCTAGTTAAGGTGTTATTCTCCCCTAACTATAACGTTCAGAAGCTGTTTTAGAACCGAATAAACTGAAGTTACCGTAGTGAATAAAATGAAACTGAAAGAAAAAATATTGAACCATACCGAATTTAATTAGGTACGGTATTGGTATAGCATTTTAGGATACTGAATATTGAAAATACCGAACCAAAATATCTAAATATCGTACCGTACCGACCGACAAATACCCCTAAGGCGTCATGCGTAAGCTAACAATGTAAATCTGAATGATAAATAAGACGACAAAAGAAATATATACTAAACTGGCATAATAATTTAATATGATTTGATCAATTGACCTACATATGAGAAAACTAATATATAAAAAAAAATTGAGACAAAAATCTCCCACTAAACAAGACTCTCCTAAGGACTACATTGTGAATGTTATTGTGTTTGTGTGAAGGAAGGTCTCTCAATTTATAGAGGCCACAACCTTTTCCTCCAAGAAAGAAATCCGTCAAATATGAAGAGATCTATATTTTCCTTTAAGGAAAAGTAAAAATAATTATGGTTAATATTCTATTCTTCCTTCGAGTAAAAGAATAAATCCAAATAAGGTAAGAAAATCATAACAAATTCCTAACAATTCTGTTACGACCCAATTTCACCTATAGGTCGTGATGGCGCCCAACACTACAACTAAGCAAGCCAACTTAATAAAATAAGCATATATTGACAAAATTTAAAATCAAGAAAAATAATAAGACGCCAAATTCTACCAATGTATGTGCCAAGACCTGGTGTCACAAGTGTATGAGCATCTAGTAGATTATACAAAACCTCAAATACTGTCTGAAATAAATAGACAGAATGAAAAATACAAGGAGAGACACTAGTAGCTGCAGAACGGCTCAGAAAGGCAGCTCACCATTATGCCCCTGGATAGCGTGGGTGTAAGACGATAGGTCCCCCACTAGTAGTTGTCACGACCCAGTTTCACCTATAGGTCGTGATGGCGCCCAACACTACAGCTAGGCAAGCCAACTAATAAGTCAAACGTACATTGGTTAAACTTTTATTCCAAGAAAATAATAAAATATCAACTTCTACCAATGTGTGTGCCAAGACCCGGTATCACAAGTGCATGGGCATCTAATAGATTATACAAAACTTCAAATACTGTCTGAAATGAAATAGACAGAATATAAATATAAGAAGAAACACTAGTAGCTGCAGAACGGCTCAGAAAGGCAGCTCACCACTATGCCTCGGGATGACGTGGGTATGTGATGATAGGTCCTCCACTAGTACCT